CTTATCAAATGGATCGCATCGAAAATACGTTGTTTACGTTCATTCCTCTATCCCCTTCACTATGGTTTGAAAAACAACGCAATTCGATCGCAATGAATTGCAAATTTAAGCAAATATTTTTCACTTTCGAAATGTTGAGTGGTGTTTATACGATGTAGCTGTGCCTGTTTAACAAATCATTCTAATCAATTTCAAAAGTTTTTAAGCAAATTTTCTCATTAAGACAGCTGTACCTTTTAAATGTGACCGAGCGGGTGAATCACATATGAAACATATATTGTTGATGTCGATGCGATAATTATTAACATGAATGCCCGTTTTCATTATTTCGTTTATCTCATTTACAAGAGGCGATAAAAACTCGTACAAATTCTTGAGTTTGCCTTTTCCACACCATATAGCTATGACTGTAATATAAATGAGATGCTTACTGGTTGAGTGGTGAATGATGACTGATTTATTGAATGCTTATTCTCAATGCTAATTCATATTACTTTTCCGCACCGACCATGTCGTGAGTAAAAGTATTGTCATCACTCCAAAACCTAGGTACCCCGAAAAACCATTTTTCTATCCATTTTCGACACCAAAAAGCACCTTAAAGTGATTATTTTGCTATGTTAATGTGGGTGTGTCGTACCCTGTACGCTGTACGCAAAAATTTGTTAGCGCGATTGCTCAAATACCAGAATGGGAAATAAAATTCTGCAAGTACCAAACGTTTGTGCTTCGTTAGACTTGGAAACCATTAAATTTTCAGCCACCCCAGATGTACCCTAGGATACCTAGCCTATGAAAAACCTTCAAAAAATCGAACTTTTGTTCGGAAAGTACCCAAAATAGGCTCCCCAGGTGGATTTTATCAATCCTACTTGATTTATTTCATCAAATTAATAAGGGCCCAGGAACAACCTAGAACCCTCTAACCTACCTTTTTCGTATCAGATCGGTATAATAATTCAAAATTTCTTGCATTTTTTGTTCTTAATTTTGTTAAAAATCGCGCTTTTGTATGAGAGTTTCAAATCACTCCTTCGCTCATTCATGTTGTTCTATAGATTCGAAGGGCTGCCATATAAATACAATGTAAAAGAAAAACGCGTTATGATTTTGGTCAAGAAAAATGTGGTTATTTTAAATGGTATTTTTTTCAACTCGTCACATTTTGTTCCAATTTTTTCAGTATTCAGACGACAATAAAGACAATCAGACGTTTTATTTCATTTGAATACCCAACATCAAGATTTTCGGAATCATAATACAATTTTCCATAAAATACATGAACGTACTGTTGTTCTTTTCTGAAAATTCTTATAAATTTCCTAGGCAAAATCTGAATAAAAGCTGAACGTTCTGAAAACGGTGCGGAAAAGTTCGTCTTACGGAGGTAAGACTATTTATAGTAGTATGTAGTACTATGCGTACTATTCTAGTACGCCACATCTCCCTTTCTTTAATTTCGTTTCAATATTGCAGTAAAACCTGTCAATAACGGAACCTGGGAATAGTGGAAATCGTGTCAATAGTGGAAAAAAAATTTGGCCGTTGAACTCTCCCATACAAATTGACCTGTTAATAACGGAAAACCGAAACTCCGAAAAGTGGAAAAAAAATTTTGGCGAAATTTTTTTTCGTCTTTTTTCCGTGTCTTTTTTATTTAAAACTATATTTTTCCTTTATCAAAACCAATGATCATCATAAAAATCCTGCAGTACAATGTACATTACATTGATTTCAGTATCATGTTTTACTTTCGTCTGCCAAAATCATTGCTTATTTCATGCAAATAAAATTTTTATGCTCCCAATAAAAACACATCCACTCGATTGGCGCGTGCAATTCAGTATATTTACAGTAAGTTTGAAAATCATTTATTCGTTTGATGAAATGCAGAATTTATCGCTGCCAATTCGGCAGTGAAAGAAATGAGTATCATTTACTTTCTAATTTTGAGTCACTGTTTAGACTGCTTGATTGTTCTAAATAATAATGTTTGTCATTCACTGTTTTTTTTTTTCATTTTTCGTTCTTTCCTTCATTCATTTATTAAAAAATACTTTTATTTCAGTATTTCCTTCTCACCTTTATTATATCGCTTGATTTGATCATTAAATACCCATAAAAATGTATGCTTCGGTTTTTTTTGTTTCTTTTTACCCTCAATAATGGAAAATCATGTTTGGTTCGACTCAAAAACCTGTCAATAACGGAACCTTTGAATATTGGAATTCGTGTCAATAGTGGAAAAAAAAATTCCCCATGGAATTCCGTTATTGACAGGTTTTACTGTATTTAATTTATTCTTATGTCTTAATTTCTACTTGTACTATCTCTCTCTTTCCTTTTTTTTAAATTTATTTTACAGACGAGTGAGAATGAGGGAAGCACAAAAAAATTCAAAATAAATTCCAATAAATACATTTTTGTTTTAAACTAATATTTTCTACCGCTTCTAGTGCATTTCGGAGCAAACATTGAGTTTGAGCTTGGCATTGTTGGCAATGGATAATCTTGGTCAGCTCCTTCCGATTCGATGCGTCGTCGAATTTCCCAACTGTTTCGTCTGTATTCATTGTTTTCTGTTTTCACGAGATACGATCGAGGGGTATGCCATACCTTTGAAACTATACCTTTTTGCCATCGTCCATTCCAAACATATACTTTGTCGTTCAATTCATAATCATTTCTATGTTTGGCTGAGCGATCATAATATTTTTTTACGTTATTTTTTTTTCTATTGAATTCAGTTTCAACATTCATGTTTGTTTTTGGATCGAATTTCGTGTCCCTCATTGGAATTTTCTATTTTGTAGCAATTGAGATGGCGAGTATGAGAGGTCTTTTGTCGGAGTCGAGCGATATTCTAATAATGCCAAATATGCCTCGTGCATATTGTTAGTCTTTTTCAAAATACCTTTACATATTTGAACTCCTCTTTCTGCAAGTCCGTTGGACTTTGGGTAGTGCGAGCTACTAGTTTCAAACTTAAAATCAAGAGATTTAGCAAATTCTCTACACTCTAGCGAACTAAATGGCATGTTATCAGCTATGATAACTTTTGGAATACCATTCCTGCTGAAAATTTCGAATAAATTACTATTTACATCATTGGCTTGCTTACGCCTTAGCTGTTTCAACTCTATCCACTTCGAATAATAGTCAACAACTACTAAATAATCTTTTGCTTTAAATTCAAAAATATCAGTCGCTAACTTCTCAAATGGTCTCATTGGAATGTCATGGGAAATCATGGGCTCTTTCTGATTCTTTCTAGCATTTATCTGGCAAATGTCGCAACTACTGATTAACTTCTCTATGTCGTCGTCTATCCCAATAAGGCCAATAAAGGCTATTTCTCGCTCTCTTTTTCGTCTTTTCTATGCCAAAGTGCGGCTCATGTAATATCTTAAGCATTTTTATCTTCATCGATGCTGGCACGATTATTCGTTCATTATAAAAAAGAATATTATCGTCCAACATTATTTCATTTCGCATTTTAAAGAAAAATTTCGTATTTTCAAAGCACTTTGCTTTGTTTCTCGGCCAACCGTCGCGGCAATATTTCTTTAAATTCATTAACACCGGGTCCGAATCCGTTTCAATTTGAAATTCTATTATTCTCTTGTCGCTCACATTTATGCTGAGCACTGCATTACTCAAACCTTTGTCGATGTCTTCTTCTTTATATTTCATTGAATAACGCGATAGATAGTCCGCTATATGAATCAATTTGCCCGGTGTGTACTCGAGTTGAATGTCATATTGTAATAATTTTAATCGAATATTTTGGAGTTTTGCTGACGGAATTTTATGAATTTCTTTCTTAATTATCGAGGTTAACGGTTTATGATCATTTTTCACCTTAATTTTACGCCCGTACGTATAAAATTCAAATTTCTCACATGCGAACAAAATTGACAAAAATTCCTTTTCGATTTGCGAGTATTCTTTTTCTGTGTCCGTCAGACTTCTCGATGCGAATGAAATAGGTTTCTTTTCTTGCATCATACCACACCCGAGACCACCTTTCGATGCGTCACACTCAATTTCTATCTCTTTCGACTCGTCGAATGGAACTAAAATCGGCGCGTCGACTATTTGTTGTTTTATTTTGTTGAATGGTTTGGTGTGTCGTTCAGTCCATCGATAAATGACATTCTTTCTTAATAAATCGCGTATCGGCTCGGTGTGTTCAGACAAATTCGGAACGAAAGGCCTAATTATTTCAATTACTCCTAAAAACTTTCTTAGATCGGTTTTATCTTTCGGCATTCCCATCTCTTTAATCGCTTCAATTCTATCTCGATCCGGCTCGATTTTTCCCTCAGAAAAAAATGCGACCGAAGTACTTCACTTTGTCAACTGCTAATTGTAATTTCTGAATGTTGAATTTAACTCCTCTTTCTCTTGCTCTATTCAAGACTTCTAGTAATGCTCGATCATGCTCTTCTCTTGTTTTGCCCGTTACCAGAATGTCATCCATGTAGGCAAACACATTCCTAATATCCTCAAAATGTTCATGATTCATTTTCTGAAAGACCTTTGGGCCCGACTTGAGTCCAAAAGGCATACGCAAAAACCTATAATTTCCAAATGGGGTGGCGAATGTGCAAAACTTCTGCGACTCTTGATCCAACGCGACTTGCCAAAACCCCTCCTTCAAATCGAGCACGGTGAAATATTTAACTCCATTCAATTTCATTTTCA